ATCCTCCAAGCAGAAGAGCTTCATGAGGAACTGCAGCGGCAGTTGAGAGAGGCAGCAGCGTGGAGACAATGTGCTATCTTGAGAAAAGCTAGACTGGTGACTAAGAGACATGAGTTAAGCAAATTAAAAGCATTAGTAGGCCGGGATTCTGAATCACTTTCTGATGCAGAATCTGAGTGTGCAAAAGCTGCCTTCCCCTTCTTTCCTCCATAAGGGAAGGCCCTTCTCCTCTTGTCAGAAGAGGGGGCCTGTACATGGAGTTTTGCCTCCATGTCCAGAGCTGCGGGGCAAGGATCTCCAATCCATATACCCAGAGCTATACAGTGTTGCAGCGAACTTCTCAGGCGCTACTCTGCAAAGTTAATCAGCAAATCATCAGAAGACATGACCAACCCAAGGGTGGAGATGAGTTCCTCAAACTCCGCAAACAAAGCATGAAGGGACCCTGAATACCGCCGCTGTCCGAAGCGAGCAAGCTTGTCAGCAGCCTTGCGGGCCCACTCCTTGTCTGCAAATCTGTCCTTCAGGGCATGCAGAAGCCTGTCCACTCCCAGCCCAAAAGCCCAGTCCTCCAGACGCCTGTTCTAGCTGTTGGAAGAGGATGTGACCCATTTCAATGATAGACCATCCAACAGACCCAGAATCGTTGAGACCTTTGTCTCCTCCGCGCAGGTGAAGCCTCTCAGATAGGCTCTTGCGCCAACGGCCCAGTCCCCAACATCCACTTCGGGATCATCACCTTTAACTTTGTTGGGGGCTGGGATCTTTGGCAGACGCCGCTGGTCAACAACGAAGGGGACAGTGGCCTTGGTGACAGAGGGCTTTGGGGATGGCAGTGGTGTTGGGGAAGAATGTCTGGAATTGGACTTAGGAGAAGGAGGAGGAGATGACTTGGGAGATAGAGGAGGAAGAGGTAGGCCAGCTGCTGGAAGTTGAGCAAGGATAGAATACATCTGTGATAGGATTTTATCTTGCTGAGCTCCCAGATTATCGAGACGGCGCTCTAGTCGCCCCATCCGGTCATCCCAGTTGGTGAAGGAGGTAGTTGTGGCTTTGTGGTCCAGCCAGATCCACTCTGCCACATACCAGTTCACCTCTGAGATCCGGCCATCCTTCTCGATCCTGGCCAACTGCTCCAACAGGTACGTCCTGCAAGACGCATCTGTTGCAACTTCCAACGTTGCTGCCTCTTGCTGCAATACTGTCAAGCAGTCATAGAACACTTTTGAGTCAGAAAGAGTCAATAGGGGAAGAGATATGAGCATTAGAGACTGAGGAAGAAGATGGCTATGGTTGTCATGCAGTCTAACAAATCTATTTTTAGAAGTACACTGATAGATGGACCATCAATTCTAACTCTAATTACTCTGAATAAATCGCCACACTGAGTTCTGCACGGAACATACTCACTTGAGAAAGATTTCGCAGAGGAAGGTAAAGCTCTTGCTATGGCAGACAGTTTACACCCTTTCTCGCCACTTTCTTCCAGAGGCTGTTCCTCTGATCTCCACGTGCAGAATTTCGCCAAACTTGTTGATCTTCCAGAGGGAACTGAGGTGCTTCCTCTCAGAGTGCTAGATTCAATGAATCTTGTTAGATAGCGATTGTCATGCAGACAGAAAAAATTTGCTATTGGCACTCCCATCCGCTGACACAGGGGTTGGGCCAGAAAAGCCCAAATCGGTGTCGGATTGACTTGGTCAGTCAATTCTTTCCAGCGCTATACCCTGTAGAAGCCACCCTGAGTCAAATCGCGATTCTGGCTCCCATGCCAATACTGGCGAAATTGCCCTGGACTCGCTACTCTGGGTCAGGCGCTGACAGGAAAGCAGCGCCGCCTGCAAGTCTTCTTCTCGCCTGATTCAGTACCGAAGAGGAAGGATCGCCATGAAACTCTCTCCAGAAGATCCTCAAAAGAAGAAGATGCCCCACTTGCACTCAACCCTCAGTTAGTCAGTTCCTATCCTGCTCTGATACCAATTGTTATGATTTTGATTGTTTGTCGAATCCAATCAACACCCGCACTCAGACAATCTCACACATGCCCATACATGCATAAGAAGAAGGGGAGAGGAGACAGAGTACACACTGCACACGGACAGGGAGGACAGCGAAAAAGAGTTACATGCAGGTGTGGAGATAACACAAAGTGTTTCTCACTCTGTGACAATACTCCCAACAACCAATCATAAGAAGACACTGTCGAGGATAACAAAAGAACGTAACCAAGTTTGAGCCAATCTGAACCAACAATCCTCCCGGAGTTTGTCCCAGTATCTCGCCACCCCTGAACTCCACACTCCACTCTCACACTCCCACCCAGTTAGTTGCGCTACCCTAGATGCGCCTCCCTGAGGCCAACGCGAACCACCAAGATGAAGAACAAGACCAGCAATGAAGTCCTCAGTGCTGATGTAGGAACTCTGATGATGAAAGATGTAGCTATGGCTGCAGCGCCACTGGCTCTGCCACGCAGGTAGCCCTGACGAAGTAGCATCGGCAGTAGTCCACCCACAAACCACTATGTAGAGCCTCCTAATAGCCCAGACAGTCGCAGTCACCCTCAAGGGTGAGTGCTCAGAGAATGCCCCAGCTATGGCGAACTCCAACAGTTTGGCTATGGCTGTTGTCACTGACGAGGGACTTAGGATGCCGCGCCTGAAGTCAATCGTCACCTTCCTTGCTTGGTTCAACTCCGTAGTACCGACGAAGAATGAATTGCCAAAAGTCCTACCTACACCGACCTCGCTCTATTAATAGTTCTAGCCTAGACTTAGACCTAGACCTAACTGGACTTACCGGAACCATTTCAGTTTTGGCCTCTCGGCCTAGACCGCGACGGCCTCCCGTCCTAGTGATAGTCCGGGTCTGCTAGACTGCAGTAGGAGACTATAGGAAATTCGAGTCTACTTGAGGCCTGCAATTTTCCAAAATTTACAGATATGTCCCTCACAAATTCCCCCCTCGTCTGAACTAACAGTTAGTCCGTGACAGAAGCAAAATTACAAATCTAACCCTACTGCTGTCACTGTACAGCCTCGCAGTCAGATTCCAGCAGCCAAATCAGCAAGTCATTGCATAGAGAGAGAGAAAGATAGAGATAGAGAGAGAGAGAACAGTTAAGTCTCCAACCTCGTGGCTGACCTCACGCTACTTCCATTGTTAGGATAAGCAAAATCGAATGAATCTTCCAGAACAGGGAAATATACACTGCCTGGTTGAATCTGCCCGACACCTGCCGGACAACACGTTCTGCAATCGACAGCGCCGCCCGAAACAAACCCGCAGCAAAAAAAGACCCTGTTCATAAAGCGGCCCCCCAAAAAAAAACGTACAAACGCGCGGGCCCGCTCACCCCCCAAAAACAAAAACAGTACGAAACGGGGCATTACGTCTGTCCTATCCAACTGACGTGTGGGCCTCATTTTCCCTGGACCCAGGGGGAGCATTTTACGGGGCCCTGTCCCTCCTTTACTAGTTATATCGATAGACAGTTATATAGATATTAGATATAGATACTTGCAGGCGTTCCCTGCCACGAGCAATGCATTGCCGTCACAGTTGCATCCAATGGCATTTTGTCCCTTCTCCTCCCCGGTTGCAGGACATCCCACTCAGGCTTTCGTGTTCCACTTGCCCCAGACGCTAACATAAGTTTCCCTATTCCCAAACAAAGTGAGCTTGCGGACTGATAAGGCAACTTAGACTTATAGTTTGGGATGAAGCACCAATGACACACCGTTTCCATTTTGAAGCGCTTGATATTACACTCCGAGACATCTGTCACACAGACGAGCCTTTTGGCGGCAAAGTCATCCTCCTTTTGGGCGACTTCAGGCAAGTTCTTCCAGTCATCAGACATGGAAGTAGGGCACATCAAATTAGTGCTCCCATGAAACCTTCACCACTATGGAAACCTTTTCAAACACACAAATTACAAGAGAACGTGAGAGTTCTGCGTCGCGGAGATGACGAGAAGAGTCAAAAGTTTGTCGCTTTTTTTTTTTTTTCCGTGTTATCCTTGCGCAGGGGCCATGCTAATCTTCTCTGTGTCGTTCCAATTTTAACGGATGTCCCGAAGGACGTTTGTCGCTTTTTTATTGCAAGTAGGCAGGGTTTGCACACCCCGACGGTCGGCGGCCCTTGACTGGTCGGCTGCCGACCCGCCGACACTTTTATTTTTTTTATTTTTTTGGGATCCAGAACCCCTAATAACCCCACCCACACCCCCATAGCGGCCCCCAATACCCACATACACCAACCTAACATTCCCGAACCGCCCCCAACATCCTTATTAACACCCGCAATATCCCCTATATCACCCCTATATCACCCCTATACTCCGCCTATACTCCAACCCATACCTGCGGCGTATCGCGTGCGCGCGAGCTCCGCACTTGCAGCGCATAACGCACGTGTAAGCATGCACGCGCACGTGATGCGACGAACCCCACTAAATAGGGTATACAAAAAAAATTGGAGAAGGCTGGCTGAGGTAGCCAATGGTTCACCTCCCCACAGGAAAAAAAATAGGGCCCACGTATTCCTTCTTGAATAGTCTTTTTCGCGGAGGACCCCAGCAGTACATATGCAAGGGTCCCAACATCTTAAGAGATGTTCAGCAAATTTCGTATGAAAGAAGAGCAGGCCAGCAATATATGTTCTGGATCCGAAGTCAGGTCTGCTTTCGAGCAGTTATGGGTTACAAGTTACAACTACTTACTTTTGTTTCTTTTTCTTTTGTTTTGTTTCTTTTTYCTACGAGCAGTGGCCCTAAGGGCCTTGCTCCACTCGTCACCAGCACAAAAGACAAAACATATGGCGGCGTATGTGTTCCATGTTCTAGCAGAAGATTCATTCCCCTCTTTCTTTTGTTTCCTTTC